TGGCTTATAAATTGAAGGAATACCTCATAGTTGGGTTTAAAGATAATGGGTTATTAACAGATACCCAAAAAAATTTTAATTTCAAACTTTCCCAGACAAGGGTGGTTATTGAAAATTGTTTCTGCCTCTTAAAAGGCAGATTTAGACGGCTCAAGTATATGGAAACCGTAAGATTAGATCTTATTTCTTTATTAATCATGTCTGCATGTATATTACATAATTTATGCATTTTAAATGGAGACGAAGCAGATGATATTATCAACTTTGACCAAGAATTTCAAGAGGCAATGCAGTTCAATAATGAAAATTATATAGATCAAGTAGATTTCAATAATCGTAGGGCAATAGAAAAAAGAAACCGAATTATGAATAATTTAAGAGTAGACCATGTTTTTTAGTAAATACTGTGATGTTATTGTATAATTACTATATAAGGTGTTCCATAATAATATGCGTTTATACAAGGAGTTGAATCTTCACGATTTTACGTAAAAAAGTTTATATAAACATGTTCGCAAATGCTTCATTACCATGATACAGGGTATTAAAGTTTTAGGTAACAGTAACAATGGTTTACAGTTAATTCTTCAACAATCGAAAAAACACAGAATTTCAGGTTCGAAAGAAATTAAAAACTAAAACAAAAAAATTATTATCCGTTAGTCAGAGCCTACTGTAGAACATTTTATGGCTTACCCAAAGAAAGTTTGGGGGGCTGAAAAGGAGGCCTGACCTCAGAATAAATAGCACCCTGTAGATGGTGACAACTACACAGGGCTAATGATGCAGGCAACCTTAAGTTAGCCTATGTTCCAAATTTAAGCTACTTATCTCAAAAACTGTAGGATACAAAAAAATAAATTATTGAAATTTTAACACCCTGTATCATGGTGACAAAGCATTTGCTGTGTTTATATGAATTTTTTTACTTACAATCGTGCAGATTCACCTCTTTGGGTCTAGACAGACTACTCTGAAACACCCTGCTCTATTAATAAAAAATGTAAACATTAAATGTCTTTTATTAAAAATATATAGATACATAGAATATATGGCAATCTTTTAACTAAACAGTCTTCAGCAATAAAATAAAATAAATAATTTCACTCTTATTGTTTTAATGAAATACAGGGTGTTTTCTTAATATTGCAAACAATTTTAACCACATATGCTACATCGAAAAATAATGCTAATTTGTCAAAAGATTTCCCCATAAAAAATAATTCAACGGCATCAAATCGCAGCTTTTGGACCAAAATTTTTTCGAATCTCGCTTTCTGCAACACAGCACTCACTTTGGAAATAATTTTTCAATATTTCTCAAAGTTGTTCAAGCCTAAAATGATCCATCTTACAGCGGAGGGTAGACGCTATACATATATGTCAATATGTCGAGCGTGTCATGTTGTTAATGTGGATATCTCTCAATTAAAAAAGAATACATCTGATGGCCCACCCTATATATTCCTATATTGCTTCATTACAGATATACAGAGTGATAAAGTTTTATAATCAAAATCCATTAGTTCTTCCAAAACCGTGTTATTTTAAATAAAATTTTACATGCTTTTTCAGCAAAGGAGTGTTTATATTATTTTTTAATTATTTAATTAGTATTTCTTAAATTATTAAAATTGCATGTTTTCTTAAATAGGGAGTAAATTGTTTTAATNGCGCCTGCTCCTTATTTAAGAGGACTTGTGCCAAAACCATATCTTAAAAAATATGGAATAATAATTTTCATTTTCCTTTATAAATACAAATAAGAATTAAGTATAAGTACAAACAAGGTCGTAACCAGTGGGGTTACTTTGCACTGCATGAAAAAATGTTTGCCTTGCGTCCTTGTCTTTAGAAGTAGGTATTATAGGTAGTATAAAAAAAATTGTATTGCAATGTCTAAAAGCAAGTGGTCTTTGCTGCATAAGAAACTTTCTTACTGGTTTTGGACCTTAATAAATATGTATAAATATTTGCCTCGATATTAGCCGATTTTACCGTTTACTAGAAATCTATTATACTGAAAAAAAATTAATCATTAATACGTTTACTTACTATTTCTTACGACGATTTCGTCGTACTCTTCGTCGTCTACATTAAGGTTATAATATTTTTTTTTTTCAAAGTCGTACAGCTGAACTTCCTTCATGTAACACAACAGATTATAAAGGTTTATGTTATGTTACACCAAAACTCAAAGAATTGTATCGAATAATGGTTCTTCACCAAAACAACAATATCGATGCCAAGCCAAACAAAACAACTGACAACTGCAAAACATAACCACACTTCTTCAGATTAATCGCTTTTCTCCGTCCAAAAGCCACGAGCAAATCGAGCATACTCAGACGCGTCTAGATTTAATTACCAAACGATGGAGATCGACCTCCCCTACCTCTAGATGTAATAAACGAACGATGTAGAACAATCGGAGTGGTCTGATCATAAATACCAAACGCAGCGTATCTATACAGGTTGGAAAGTCCCCATGCTACATCGGCAGTTACGTGAGAGCGATAAAGTAAGTCAAAGAAATTCATGCGATAGAGAAGGATGGCTATAATGAAGGCGTCTCATAGTTACCGCCCGTTTCGCCCTTCCTTAATAAGATCCACTTCCACTTATAATTTAGCGACTGGTGGTCATCTTTGTTTTCGTCGTTTGCCTTTTCTTTAATAGATGTCACTACCTATACAATTCCGGCTCCGATATGTTAAAACATTCCATTAACAGAGGGAAGTACAACGCGTAACAAAGAAAGCTTTTTACAGTAGCTAGTAGATACTTCTGTTTGAAAATCTAGTGATCTTGTTTCCCCTACTGAGAAGTTATTCAAATAGACTATAGTGCTCAGCTCCATTTAAAGTTCATTTAGTTGTTATTTAAATATACTTTGCCCTCTGTTAGCGGATTGTATTAACATATCGGAATACCGGAGTCAGAATTGTATATGTAGTGACATCTATTAAAGAAAAGGCAAACGACGAAAACAAAGATGACCACCGGTCACTCGCGCCATTATTCTATGGCTAGAAATTGGCCTCAATGATTTGGGATCGAGGGGGATTATCCCTCTTTATCCTGCCTCATCTCGTGTAGGCCT